TTAAAGGTATATATATATATATATATATATATATATATATATTCTAATTCATGTGTAGGTATACAAAACTGACACAACATAAAAGATGTTTTTTTATATAAAATATAAGCTATTATATGTTATAATATTTAAAGATATTTTTTTATAAAATTATAAGTTATTAAACAGAATTTTAAAATAAAAAATTATGAATTATTTATAACATTTGAAATTAATTTTTTTAAGTAAAAAATTATATATATGAAAAAAATATTTAATATGATAACTAAAGTTGTATTAAGGTTCCCTTAAAAAAAATTGTATTAAGAAAATATTTTTAATAAAATAAAATAAAATTTGGTGTTAAATATATTAAGTGATCAAAATATTTTAATATTTGTGTATTTTCAGTTTTATTTTTTTACAAACTATCTTAAACAAGTAATATAATAATACATATATTTAGTTAATTTTTAATTAATAAATTTTAAAAATTACAAAAATCAAACCAAACCAACCAACAAAATATTAGTTTGGTGTGGTTTGAGTTTCATAATTCATTCAAAATAAACTAAATTGAACTGTACTTAATTTTCTTATTTGATTTGGATGAATTTTAAAAAATTGAATCAAATGGCACCATAAACATCTCTAGTAGGGAGAACGGATTTGCAAAGAAATTTTTTTAGATACTAATTGGGTGTTTAGTACATGAAATATTTTTACTTTTCTATGAAATTTGAGTCAGTAATCTTTGGTTTCTCATGTTTGGTGACTGTTTAAAAAAAAGATTTTCAGGAATATAACTTCTCAGATTCAATCTAATGACTCAAATTCAATCTTATAAATATTATTTTAAAATAAATGTTAACATTTATAATATTTTTAGTTGTGCAATAATCAAAATTATTTAAGAAATATATACAATTATATTGAAAATAGAAATTATTATTTCACTTAATTTTTTTTGGGTAATCTTTATGAAACTGAATTTTCATTACGAAAAATTAAAATTATTGCATAGCCAAAAATATTTTAAATGTTAACACTTATTTTAAATGGTATTTATAAGATTGAATTTGAGTCATTAAATATATTTAATGATTATTATTATTACTGGAGAGAGGCTAGAGAAAAAGCATTGTAGGAGAGGATCCAAAACCATCATACTCTCTTTATTTCTTTCTTTCTTGCATCTTATTATATCTTACCTTGCTAATTTTAATAATATTATTAAAGTCTCTTTTGTTTTTATAGTTTAATAGTATTTGCTAATATTTTTTTATTTATTTACTTATTCATTTAAATAAAATAAAATAATATATTTTTATCCTTCTTAATTATAATGTAATATTTTTCTTTATTTATTTCTTTTGTTGAATTTTGTATTTAAATAATTTTAACTATAAATTTTTCACTTTTTAAAATAATTTAATGTCATATTTATAATAGAATTTGAGTAAATAAATATATTTAATGAATTTATTTTAATAAAAAAAAAATTTTAAAAAATATTTATATACCTAGGAACATACTATTGTAATCTTAAAATCTTTAATTCCCATGAGTAGTGATAGCAAAAATACCCGCACCCGTAGGTATTTGTGGGTAAAATCCGTTACGGATAATAAATGAATAGGCTAATTAGATACCCGCGAATAATGGAAATGAATAATTTTTTACCCGTTTATAAACGGGGTGGGGTGGGTATGATGGTATCCATACTCGCGAGTACCCGTTTAATAATATTTCTTAAATATCCTAATTATCTTTGTACCACATAACCTTAAAACTATACTCTCTCATCTTATTTTTTTTCATAACCACATAGCCAACACATTAGTCATCACACATTATGAGATTGAATTATTGTAACTTTGTGATATGTCATATGAGACTTTCACTTACGTGTGAGATTGATGTATTTTAAGTTAGTGATTATCTTGCTTTTTTATTATTATTTCAACAAAATTAATATTAATTACAAGTTCAAAATTAATATTAAATTTTTATTTTTAATATTTCAATGACATTAAATATAAACTTAAAATTAAAATTATTCCCCTAAAAAAAACTTAAAATTATTTGTAATATATTTTTTTTTAATTTCTTAAAAAGTTTATAAATACCCACGAATATCCATAGATATCTACGGATATTCAAGAAATTCATGGATACCCACTTAACGGATACCCGCACGGGTATAGGACGAATATGAGGCCAATTTTCATCCAGCAGGATGGGGACGAGTTTACTATTACCCACCCATGAAGCCCCATTGTCATCCCTACCCATAAGTCTTAAATGAATATTCCTAAAAATCTTTATGAGTAATTAAATAGATTTTAACTATTTTCAAAAATCATGATTTATGGATTATGAAAAAACTTTTCTTATATCAAACGTCTTCTAAGATCTTGCACTATATAATGTATATTTTTTTTCATTTCTCATTAATGATTATTCCTGCCATGTAACATGTGCCCCACACGGCCACACCCCCACCCCCAAAATCAGTTAATAGATTAACCCCCTCCCCCAATTGGAAGAATAAAATAAAATAATAATTATAAAATTATTAAAATAATATTAATAATTAAAAATTATATTTATATTATATATAAAAGATATATTTATACTTTGATAATATTGGTGTTTGGAAAAAATGTTGAAAATTTGATTAGTTCGTATGTATAATTGATTATTGTTTTGTTCGATTATAATCAAAATAAATTTTTAGTTAGATAAATTTGTTAACAAATAATTTTAATATATTTAATTTTGTTTAGATATAACAAAAGAAATTAACTTGTATATAGAAAATTAAATAAAATAACTTTTATCCTTACTAGTAATAACAATAAAATAAAAAAATTTATTTATTATTTTTTAAACTAAATAATCTCAATAACTTTCATTCTATTTCTCATTTCTTCTATTTCATTTTTTAACATCAAAGAGATTCCTACATTCGTTAAATATAGGAATGATAAGTAAATTTGTACTCGTGGATAATGTTCGAGTCTACCCTAACTTTGATGGAAAATACTTTATATAACCGTGTAAGGGTACATGTAATATCTAATTAATTAAATTAAATACAAGGACGAGATGAGTGTATGCACAAGCATTTTGTACTTGTACCCATAATTATACTCGTTTTTAAATTTTTAGATATTTAATCTATTCTCTTTAAAATTTATTGACATTTGTGCATTTTTACTTTATTTTTAATTTATGTCAAATAAAACTTAATTAATGTAATTTTATAATTATTATTTTATATTAAAATTCTTATTTTTTATATTTTTTTTTAAAAAATATTTAATTAATTTTTAAAACAAATATGTGATAGATAAAATATATCCGATATCTGAAAAATATGAAGATGAGATCAAATATTCCATTCTCATCAAATATAAGATATGATGAATATAAAATATGAAAATTAAGATGAAAATGATAACTCTCCCATTTCCGTCTGTTGCCATCCCTAGTTTAATATGATTGGGATGTGTGTTTACGATAGTCTAAACTAGATTTCACGTTAAAAGTAGGTGACAGTAGCTTAAAGCGTAATCAAACAAGTACTAGAAATACAAGTTGTAACTACTACTTTTAAAGGACATGCACGAATGTGTATGCAATGTGACCTGAACCCGAACGAATGAGCACGTCGTTGTCAATGTCATGTAAATGTGATTCACATTTCCAACGACCACTTTTTTTCGCTCAATATTCCATCGGAATGCGTAAATGAGGCTGCACACCAAAGAGACATTTCTTTATTTCTGGGGCAGTGCTAGCTTTAAAATAGATAGTGGTGATTTAAAAATAATGTTCATTCATGGATACCTCTCTTTAACAAATTACAACCACTCTATCTACACTTACCAGTATATTTTTCTCAACAATTCATGGATCCCTTATTAGCTGTACGATAAGTTTAAATATCCAAAAATCGTTTTTGTTTAAAATATTTGTATAAAGTAACAGGAAGTGACAGTTGGTGTTTCACATTTTAAAATCCAAGTCCTATCCAGTAAACATCGCAAAACAAATTGATAATACATACATGTGTTTCAGATTACAAAACTGAATACTCTTTAATGGCTTTACTCCGTGATATATTATAATGGAAACTTATGTTACAGACAACTATTACTCTACATTGATTTAAATAAGATATTTAGGCGTTTAAGCACTTGATTTCGCCAAAATGATCCAGCAAATTGTAGTGGAAACTGCAAAGTCAACTAGAACTGGGAAAAAGACAAGAAAATTCTCAAGAAATGAAAAAGCATTGCACATGTTTAGATGGAAAAAACTTCAAGAAACCAGGCAGACAAGAAAATTCTCAAGAAATGCAAAAGCATTGCACATGTTTAGATGGAAAAAACCTTCAAGAAACCAGGCATGAGACCTCCAAGTTCGATAGGCGAAAGACCAGAAATTTTCAGAAAATCACTTGCAAATTATACATGGTGAGAAAAACAATGTTTTAAGGCTAAAAAACAATTAAAAGCAAAATGTAAAAGAGCATCAACAGGGAGAATAAAAAATCAGGAATTCCCCAATCACATTACTCCAGATACATGAATTTGACCAAATGGAAAGCCACAATCATGAATCATCAAACACAAAAGAGGTAGTGAAGTGAATTACACTATGAATCTACAACAGAGAGACAAAGGATCTGGAAACTAATGAAGGGTGCCCTGAATTCAATTGTAACCAGAGTATGACTGAACTGAACTATGTAACTATCTCCACAGGGTACCTATGAATGCAATCTTCCCATGGTCCATTAGGAGAAGGCCTGACATTTCTCAGCGCCTCCCAAACCGCACTGTTACATTTGAAACCACTTCCAAATGCAATTTGCCAAATCCTGTTGCCCTTCTTCACCCTCCCTTTGGCTTCAATGTAAGCCAACTCATACCAAATGGAGCTTGAGGAAGTGTTCCCAAACCGGTGAAGGGTCATCCTAGAAGCCTCCACATGCTCCGGAAGCAGCTGCAGGTTCTTCTCCAACTCATCAATCACAGCCCTGCCCCCAGCATGGATGCAGAAATGATCAAAAGCAAGCTTGAAATCGGGTATATAAGGTTTCACATCAGCCTTGAACAGCTTCTTCATCAACAAGGTCGTGAAAAACAAAAGCTGCTCACTAATTGGCAGCACCAAAGGACCAAGCGTGGTGATGTTGGTCTTGAGCGCTCCCCCAGCAATTGCCATCAGATCCTTAGACAAAGACACCCCCGTCTTCCCAGCATCATCCTGCTCCTGGTAGACACACCGGAAGGCCTTATCATCGGCGCCCCGGTGTGTCCTCACCACATGAACAAGCCTATACTTAGCCCGCCGGCGATCGGCGGGG